AAACATCCACCAAAACGTAGGAGAATACCGTACTAAAAAAAGTTAAAGAAAAACAAAAAGTTGAATGGTTAAAAGACCAACGACAGGCACGTGGCTTGAATCCGTACCGTACATACAATGACACGGATCATTTGAACATATTACTCGCTAATATTAATATATATAAGATAAGTTAATGGCTTATGGCCAAAAGAGTCTCAAGTAGCAGTGCTACTCTATGAATGAGGAAAAGATTGATGTAGCAGCAGTAATACAAGAAACACAGTTAAAAGTAACAACATATGCATAGAAGGCTACAATCAATTCACTTGTGATTGTGCATATTGTAGCGGTATCATGACTCTTAAGTTATTGTAAGAGTAAGAGGTGAATTGACGGTAAAGAAATTAAAAACTCACTTTAAAAAATAAAACCAAATACTGATTGTATCAGCTTAAAAGTTTGGAAAGATGGCAGAGCTTTTAAGATAATCAACGTCTCCACCCCCCCCCCCCCCCCTTTTACCCCTTTCCTCTCCCCCCCTTACAGCCCCCCCCCCCTATTCTAGTAAACCAAGTTTTATTCCCCCCCCCCCCCTAAATTGACGGCATTGATCTGAATGTGAAACGAAAGGTTTTCAGAAACTCTTTCATAGTGGGTGATTTCAATGAGCAACCGAAGCAATGGGGCTATAAAACAGAGACTTCTACTGCCCGTAAAGGCACCAAACTTTGTGACTCATCGAATTTTCATTTACTACAACATTGAAAAACCAAACCCACCTTTATCCACAGTGAGAATGGAGTAGAATCCAGACCGGATATGACTCTTATATCAAATGACTTAGAAAAAGATCTAAACTGGAATGTCTTCAATGCCATTGGTATTGACCATCTACCCATTTTACTGACTAAAACTAAATAGCAAGTCAGAAGAGAAGTCAATTGCAGAAATCCCACATCGATGGCAGTATAGCAAAGCAAACACTAACTGGACCCTTGTTTTCAAAGAACTGCATGACATGTTTATAAAACAAGTGAACAAAGATAAAAATGGTTTAACACTTGATGAAAGATGTGAAAAATGGACTACTTGTGTCCTAACAGCTGCAACAACTGCCTTCCCACGTGCTAGAAGTGTAAAGACACACACAAGGCAGAAGTCTTTTAAACTGCTGAAATGATCAAGGCAAAGATGCCCAGCAAGAAAGTTGGCTCCAAAATCTAAAATTAACAGAGCCGTTTACAACAACCTTACTAACAAAATAAGAACAACTCTCCATAGATATAGAGGTCAAGAAAGCACAATGGAGAAGAATGTGTGAAAAACCTCAACATATCTAAAAACCCAACAAAAGTGTGGAATCTAATTAAAAACCAAAAATGGTGAACATGTTAAGAAGAACCCAAGTCCTATAACGTCCGAAAACAAGAAGATCGCTGATGATAAAGGCAGGGCAGAAGTTCTAAATACCGGTACCGGTAAGCATTTTGCTGCAGTCTGTAGGGTGAACAAGTGGAACAAAACAAGTCAAGTCTTGAATAAAGAGACAAAAGAAAGAGAGAAAATGAAATCAATCGATGATTCGGACCTCATGTCTCCACCCTTTACCCAAAATGAATTAACAAAACCAATTACTAAATGCAAGAAGAATACTGCTGCTGGTATGGAGAAAGTATCCACCAATATGATTATAAGATTTTAGGTCCAAAAACAAAAAGCACACATTGCTCAAACGTATACAAGAATCGTGGTCCAAGGGTGAAATCCCTAGCTGCTGGCGTCACGCCATCATTACACCTACGGTATCTTAAAAGAAGGGGCCTTCAGCAGCTGAAAACTACAGACCGATATCGATCACCTCATGTGTAGGGAAGATCGCAGAGAGAATGGATAATTCACGTCTGTACTGCTTCCTGGAAACCTCAGATATCATTCATCAGGACCAGAGTGGCTTCAGACATACCAGACAGAGCATAGACCAAATCATTTAATTAACACAAAACATAATCGATGGTTTCCAGCAGAAAGAAAGTGCAGTAGCCATCCTACTAGATTTAAGACAGGCTTATGACCGTGTCTGGAGGAAAGGCCTTTTATTAAAAATGCTGAGAATGGGAATCGGTGGCCGCTCATGTAGCTGGATTGAACATTTCTTAAGCGATAGATTAATATCGCCCCAGGTGTGCAGAGATCAGGCAGTTTGACATGTTGTATCACATGTTCGCGGACGATACACAACTTCATCAATCCGTGATCACTTCTCAGTTCCCTCAGCTGCTCAGTATTACACAGAAGACAATGGAGTCGGTAAAGCACTGGATGACCATTAACAAGCTCAAATTAAATGATGATAAGACTGAGCTGCTCCCCATTGCGACCGCTCAGAAGCAGAAATCTGCACAAAACACGACATCCATTACTCTCTCAGGTGTGCGTATTGAGTTAGCTCAAACAGTGCGGTACCTGGGTGTCTACCTAGATAGAAGACTAACTTTTGAAAGTCATATTAACATGCTATGCAGGGCGATTTTTCTGGAGCTGCGCAGGATTAGTCAAATCAGGCCCTTCCTAACAATTGATACAACAAAGAGGCTGATGTCTGCATTTGTGCTATCACGCATGGACTATTGCAATGCTCTCATGGTGGGTCTTCCAGCTACGCTCCTGGATAAAATTCAAATAGCACAGAATAATGCGGCTCGCATAGTTCTCCGCAAACGCAAATTCGACCATGCAAAAACACTTCTGAGAGAGTTGCATTGGCTGCCGGTGCGTGCTCGCATAGAGTACAAAATCGCAACTTTGTGCTACCGCTGCTTACATGACCTGGCGCCGTCCTATCTGAAAGAGCTGCTGACGCCTTATGTACCCAGTAGAGAGCTCCGCTCATCCGATAGTGGCAAACTCTCGACACCACGTGTTTGCCTTGAGACTTACGGAAAGCGCACTTTCGCATTTGCTGGTCCAACAATTTGGAACGCCCTTCCTGTCGATCTTAGAAACAACCAGACACTGGAGTCCTTTAAAACAGATCTAAAGACACATCTATTTCGCAAATACCTTCTGGGATGATTGTCTACCTTATTTTCCATGTGTTGCTGTGTTGCTCCGGGTTGAAATGGCTAGAAAGACTTTGATATTGTATGCTTGTAATTAGTTTTTGTAGTGTTGTGTTTGTTTTAAATGTGGTGAATTATAGATATGTTTTTTTGTTGACTTTGTACCGCGCTTCGAGCCTTTGGGGATGAAGCGTGTTTTTTAAATGAACTTTATTATTATTATTATTATTATATCAACAAAATTTGGTGATCAAATTTCAAGTACGGTAAAATAAAAATCCTGGAGGGGCTCCCCCAGGGTTCGTCGTTAAGCTGTACCGGTACTCTATTTCTCATTTTCATTAATGACATGCCAGATAAGATCAAATGCAATAAAGCTCTATATGCTGATGACGTTGCCTTCTGGCTAACTAACAAAGATGCCAAACAAATACAAAACAATTTGCAGGTGCATTTGAATAGACTGAGGAAATACACACAAAAAATGGAAGATTACAGTCAATATTCAAAAGACCACTTTCTCTACATTTACATTGAGTTCATTGAGTGCTAAATTCAAAGAAAACCAATTTGAATGAGTCTTTAGAAAGATGCAGATAAAAAGGGAGGAATACCCGAGCTATTTGGGAGTTCCATTAGATGCAAAGCTCAAACTCCACCAGTTTATAGAAAAGTTGATAGAGCTGAACAGAAGCTACCATTACTTAAGAGACTTGCTGGCACACGCTGGGGCACCCAGGCTGGTGACTTAAGAACATAACAAACGCTATAACCAACTAACCAAAGAAATGAAGGCCCTGACACAGGATTTAAAATTAAAGAAATGGAGCCACATGTGTGCAAATCGAAACATGAAAAGAAACCCGACAAAGGTGTGGAGAACACTGAAAGATTTAAACGGAGAGTTATCGAATGGTAACCCAAGTCCATTGATCGTAGACAACAAAAAACTAGTAACTGATTATGAGAAAGCAGAAGCGCTGAACATACACTTTGCCAATGTCAGCAAGAAAAAGAAATGGGACGATTCCATCAGAACGATGAACATAGAAAGAAAGCAAAGAGAGCTGGAAATGTGCAAGTATGTTGAGGAACATAGCATAATGTCTAACCCATTCACCATTATGGAACTGGACAGGGCTATAGACAATTGTAAAACAAATACAGGATGTGGTGCGGACCGCATCAGCACCAACATGCTGAAACATTTAGGCAGCAAAGCCAAAAGCTGCCTACTTAATATATTAAATAGAAGTTGGGCAGATGGCACTATCCCCAACAGTTGGCGACATGCCATTGTCACACCCATTTTAAAAGAAGGTAAGAATCCAGAAATCATCACTAGTTTCAGGCCAATTTCAATAACATCATGCGTCAGTAAATTGGCCAAAAGGATTGTTAACTCACGCCTCTACTGGCACATGGAGTCGAAGCGGCTCATCTACCCCGACCAGGGCGGTTTCAGGAAAAACAGAAATTCCTTAAACCAAGTCATAAGGCTCACACAACATGTTATAGATGGCTTCCAAGCCAGGGAAAGCACATTGGCTGTCTTCCTTCACATTAAGTAAGCCTACTACAGGGTTTGGAGACTTGGCCTTCCAGTGAAAATGCTACGCCTCGGTGTCAAGGGGAGAATTTTTTGGTGGATAAAAGACTTCCTAAGTAACCGCAGTATGTCCACAAAAATTGGCATGATCCATTCAAAGGCTATATCTATAGAGGAAGGCCTCCCGCAGGGGTCATCACTCAGCTGCTTGTTATTTCTTATCTTTATAAATGATCTGCCGGACCAGATCAAATGCAACAAGGCTCTTTTTTTCCGACGACGCAGCACTTTGGGCCACTGGTAAAAACGCAAATGAAATAAGCGCCATTATCCAAAGTGACCTGAATGATGTTGCAACGTTCGCCAGAACATGGAAAATAGACATAAACATAGAAAAGACTGGCCAGTGTGTTCACATTCAGGCCAAGTTTCAAGAAAAGAGCCACCATTAATAACGGGGCCTTAGAGTTTGAAAAACACCCAAAATATTTGGGCATCATATTAGATGAGAAATTAAAACTACACAAGTTTGCAGAAAATTAAATTGAAAAAACCGAAAAAGTCCTCAACTCTGTCAAGAAACTTGCACTGAAAACCTAATATCTCAAAGCAGTTAGATCGCTACAGTCTACCCATACAAAAAATGGCAAGCACCACATGTCTGAACAATATAGATAAAGTCCAAAATAAAGCAATCAGAATAATATGTGGGACTATGAAGGGTTCTCCGATAGCAGCAGGCGAGATACTGTCAGGCATAGAACCTCTAAATTTTACCAGAGACAAATCACGGTTAATAACCATTGAGCGATTCAGACGTCTCAGCAGAAACGACCCTTCACATTCACTGGCTCTCCAAACAGTTCATAAGAGAATCAATAAGGCGTCGTTCTTGAGCAACTGTTTCGAACTGGAAAGAAGTTTCAGCTTAAATTTACCACATAACAGGAAAAAGATCAGAGACGTGCCAAAAGCCAGGCCCGACTTACATCTGAACATGGACATAAGCTGGGATGTCCCTGTGGGATGTGTCGGTGACCCGGACAAAGAGGTGAGAGCGTCAAGAATCATATACAGTCCTTCAACCATTCAGAGTTTTACCACATATTTGTTGACGGAGCCGAATGTGCCAACGGCACCGGTGACGGCATTATAATGAAACCAAACCGCCTCTTGAGTTGACAGGAGTTTGCGGGTTACATTCCTCCTCAAATGAAGCAGAGTCTGAAGCCCTCAAAGTAGCACTCAAAGTGCTACATGACTCATTTTTAAACGATGAAATCCGACCGTGCAACTGTGTCTTTTTCACCAATAGTCAAAGTCTTCTAAAGAACATCACAGCTAATCTACCTTTACCCAAACTAACCAAAATAAATCGTTTAATTCGGAAAATTACCAGTAATTTCAAAGTTCGGATCATCTTGCAATGGATCCCTGGACACTCCGATAATGATTTCCACAATAAGGTAAACAAGATGACAAATAACAGTGCACACATAAAACAGAATGAAAGAAAGGTCTCTTTTGAAGCTGCTAAGACCATAATAAAAGCCCATATCAAAAAGGTATGGACTATGCAATGGGCAGAGGAGAGCACCGGGTGAAATGTGTGGAACGCACTGACAGAGCCTGCAACATCAGACCCATGGTGGCGCCTCAACAGGATAGAGCAGACCATTATCTTAAAGTTAAGGACTGGTCACTGCCCGACAATTTCCTACCTCAATTTGATGGGAAAGATGGGTACAAGCCTCTGCAGGCATTGTGAAAAGAAACTGAAACAATCGAACACCTGCTAGTATGTGGAAACCTAATTGAAGCCCGGGAGAAATTCCTAAAAAACAGAATTGGACTAATCCTTTATGGACCCGAAGAAGACCTACGCATGACTGCGAACTACTACAACTATGCTCTGAATGAGTAACGTTGAAATCAAAGAGGACACTCATTTATTTTTATTTTATTAAAGGGTGTGACAAACCATTTCAGAAATGCTCTAGCTGAATGGTTCAAAACGCCCATGTGTGGAACGGTGTTGGAAGCCTAAATGATTGTGACTATTTACAACATAGCTCTCGCTGAATAGTCTCGACGCCTATGCATGAAGATACTATGTGTGGTGTCTGGTGTCTGGTGTCTGGTGTGTGGTGTCTGGTGTCTGGTGTCTGGTGTGTGGTATAGTATAGCATACTATTTTCAGCCATGCTCTCGGTGAATGGGTTTTTAATGTCTTCGTGTGGCGCTAGTTTTGGTGCAGTGTAAAGTGTGAGCCAACTATCTCAGTGATGCCCTGCTGAATAGATGACATGTCTATCAATGATGAAGTCATGTGTGTTAAAACAAACTACCTCAGCACAGCTCTTGCTTGATAGTTTTAAAAGTCTATGCGTAAAGTTTCTATATGTGGTGAAGCCAACTATCTCAGCACAGCCCTTGCTGAATAGTCCTAAACTGTAAAACCATCTTAGCAATGCTCTGACTAAATGGTTGTTAAAGACTTAAGTGAGGAACGTTATAATGGACTCAAGTGTGAGAAGTGAGAAGTGAAGCCAACTATCTTAGCACAGCTCTCGCTAGATAGTTCCCAAATGTCTATGGGAAAAATCATGAAATATTGTTAAATTATCGTCTCTTGTGTGAAATTGCTTGCAATGAATATTCTTATTGCAAATTGAAAGTGAAATTGTGACAAATTAAAAATAAGATGGAAACTGTTTAGTTTGCCATCTTAAAAAGTTTAAATCAAAATAGTCTTTCTTGTTTGATTACTAATTCAAATTTAAATAGAATAATTTAAATTGATGGATAAAATGCCGGTAAACTAAAGACATTAAAGGATAGCCATGGTCTACAATTAAAATTAAAAGATAAATATGCTGGTTTGAAGCTGTTTAAAATTGGACAAACAAATGCCATACAGGATAGCGGAGTGGAGTTGCCCGGCAGCTGTAAGTCAAAGTCACGTCGGTTAGGAGCCCAGTCTAGTCGGAATTTTTCCGGGGCACATTAGTACACGCCCTAGTCAGTCTGAGTGGGACCAGGTGCAACTAGACTATTTCCCATCCCTAAGGATTAGCCGAAGGGAAACGGCTCTAAATACTGGGTCTCAGTGCCTAGTACATCAGAGTGCGTTCCTCGGTGGCCATATGTAGTATTTGGCTGTAGTGAGATCATAGGTTCATGCCGAGTGGTGACGTTTGGGGCGGGTACCTGTAAAAAGGTTCCTCGAACCAGAGTATGAAATCTGGCTGCTGGGTTGAACGCCGGCCAAAGAAGCGATAGCTCGGAGCTGCGGGATCGGTCAAGTCTTGGTGCCAGTTTCTTTCTAGTTGGAATGTTTTAACCTTGAATGTTGAATGTAAATTGCTTTAACCTTGAATGTTGAATGTAAATTGCTTTAACCTTGAATGTTGTATGTAAATTGCTTTAACCTTGAATGTTGTATGTAAATTGCTTTAACCTTGAATGTTGTATGTAAATTGCTTTAACCTTGAATGTTGTATGTAAATTGCAGGTTCACATGCTGGTTAAAATACTGGATAATAAGTGAGTAATGGATTTACCCGGGCGTTTAGAGAAAACTGTTAAGATGCCCAGTCTAGTCAGTCAGGAGTCGGGTTGTTTGGGAATGCAGTCCAGAGCGGGTGGTAAACTCCATCTAAGGCTAAATACTGGCACGAGTCCGATAGCGGACAAGTACCGTGAGGGAAAGTTGAAAAGAACTTTGAAGAGAGAGTTCAAGAGTACTTGAAACCGCCCAGAGGTAAACGGGTGGATCCGCAAAGTCGGCCCGCGGAATTCAGCGCGTGCGGTGGGTCGGGCCTGCTCGGGTCTTGGGATCTTCGGACCCTGCCTGGGCGGGACTGGCCTCCGCCGCGTGCACTTTCCGCGGGCAGAGCGCTACGACCGGTTTCGCGGCGGCGACAAGCCCGATCGGATGCGTGGCACGATCTCACGGTCGTGCTTCGGCCGGTCGAGGTGAGCCGCTGTCGGGACCGAGGGACGGCCGCACGCTTCGAGGCTGCCCGGCCTCGCGGGGGAGTTCGACTGGCAGGGACTGGGCAACCGTGCCTGCCGACCGCTCCTCCGTGTCGGATCGGGACAGCCGGGCGTGTCAGGGGGTCAGTGGCGAGTCTGTTGGCATTCCACCAGACCCGTCTTGAGACACGGACCAAGGAGTCTAACATGCACGCGAGTCACTTACCAAACAGCTATTGTCCAAAATCGCTAACATCTTGTGCAGTGTTTCTTTCAGACAATTTCCCTCCGGGGGAGGGGGGGGGGCACTTCAGATTTTCGGGGGTTGGTGGGCAGTGCCAGTGGAAAGAGACGTAGCTAAGGTGGGCATAGGGGACATATGTCCCCGGGTGCCAGACTAGCGTGGGCATCTATGGGCTACAGTGTTAATTGATGAAAATAATTGGTTTAGCGTGCGGGGGGGGGTGGGGTGGAGTAAAAATGAATCTTATGCCCTGGCACCAAAGACACACGCCAGTGACGTAGAAGGGAGGGGCGAGGTGACATTTTTTTCCTTTCAATTGAGCGGCGGGAATTTTGCACAACTGCAGAGTTTTTATCGAGAAAGGTGGCGCGGCAAAAAAGTTAACCCACCCAGGGGGGCGCTAAAACAAGGCACGCCGCTGGGCAGTGTATATATCAGCACTAAAATTGGTTGTCCGGGCAAGCAATGCTGACATTTGGACCGGGATGTAGGGCAGAAATGGAGCAGCCCGGTGGCTTTTCCCCCGGTGGCTTTTCCATAACCAGAAAATGTTTGATTCATTAACTATTAACAATCAAGAGATGCATTTTGGAGTAGCCATGATATGAATGTTTTGATAAGCGTATTGTTGTTTAGGGAAAATATTTTTTCAAGCATTATGGCGCCCAGTGCCATACATAAACTAAAATCATTCTGGTTGTGGTGTGTCCAAGATAATCATTTGAAACAAGATTATATTCAACACATTGATCGACGTCAAAAAAGGGATAGTATAAATTGAGGAATCAGAAGAGTCTTTACCAAAAGTGAGGGCAGAGTCCCCTTCATTTAAAAATAAAAAAAAATCAACAAGCAGTGATGCATTGTGGTGCAAATTCAATGTTACTTCAGACAATGTGTGATGGGGCATTTCAGACTTTCATATAATTACTATTAGATGTCTCGTGGAGAAATGCTAAGAAAACAACATCAAAATACATCAACTATAATTATGTGGATTACAAATCAGTTTATGATAGCATAGACAGGAAATACCTGTACGATGCTCTCCTGGAACTTGGGGGCTCTAAGAAAAGTATCCGACTCATACATATGACGATGGATAACTCCAAAAGTAGAATCAAAGTACAGAGAGTGTACTCGAGAGAGTTCCCAATTAATTAGGGCCTCATACGAGGAAATCCATGTATCCCTTTCAACATCGCGTTAGAAAAAGGCATTAGAAACATACAAGTGAGCACCAGAGAGGTAATACAGAACAACCATAAGGAACTTTATAAAGTCAGCCCCTGCAGTACCTGGCATACACAGATGATATAGCTCTACTTGGTAGAAACAGCAATGATTATAATTAAAGCTTTCATACGCACACTGATGACAACATCAATATGAACAACTACATCTTTGAGAGTGTAGCTACTTTCAAATATCTAAGGGTGACTATAAATTAGCAAAAGCGAATTACAATCGGAGGTGAAAGAAATGATACCAGTATGCAACCATTTTTATTTCAACGTACAAAAGCTACCACGAAGAAAAAAACCTCTCTAGTGGAACAAAGAAGGCAATATACACCACTATCATAAGACCAGTAGCCAGTAGTAATTTAAGCAAGTGAGACTTGT